TCATTCTGCGTAGATTGGACCAAAAATTAATATTCAAAAACTGAATTTAGCCAGGCTAACTATGACATCTGGACGTCAAAGATCTCAGTTCCCCCCGTGACCATGGGTGCTGTGAAGCATCCGAAAGGTCAGGAATTAAAAAGTTAAATTAAGCGTGATCAAATCCGTAAAAAATTATTTCATTTAATGCGTAGTCTTCGCGTAAATATAAGAAATCATTAAGAAACCATAATTTTAGTAAACGATAGTTTTTTAAACTAAGTTTCAACAAATAAAAAGTCTAAATATCATTATGCCACTAATGTTCAGTATCATTTACATTGGATTAGAATGAAAATAAAATAAAAATATAATTATAAATAATCCGACGACAACCTTTTAATCTCAAAACTAAAATACAAGACAAATCTTTTTTTAAACTTGTGAAAAAAAAAGTAAAAAAAATATTGCCATGAATTTTCAGTTAAAGACTTTAAAAACAATCATTTCACCAAAATTCTTCTTCGTCTCTCCCAAAATACGGTTTCGTTTTTTCCTGACAATATTTCCCGCTTTCAAAAATAATCTTTCGGCTGGCGCGGAACTGGCCATCACGGAGAGGTGTTTAAAAGCCAATTCGGTTAGTTTAGGGAAAGTTCCTTCAGAGCTTCTCCATATATTGAGGGCATCTGCCTTGAGATTTGATAGTGGTGCCGCAATATATAGATCCAATTCAGTATTTTTGCCTATTGACGTGTTGGCCGCTATCAGTTTTTCATTATAAAATACTTCTGTCAGTCACTTTTACGCGTTTCACAAGACATTTTTATTGTTTATATATAATTGTTTACACTAACCAAAGAAAGAAAGAAAACCATACAATACTTTTACTCCTAGCGGAGGAAGAAACCTGTTGAAAACATACGAAAAACGAAACTGTTTTACATACATAGACATAAAGGTGGCGCCGTCTTTTGATTGACTTATTCATGTTATTGAACTTACTTCACGTTTTTACATCCATCGCACAGATGACTCTGATCACAAAAATCGATTGAAACGCGTAATTTACATAAAAATTGATTTATTAAAAATCGATTTTTATTATAAAAAAATCGACTTCTAAAAATCGATTATTAGAAAAAAATAATCGATTACTATGAAAATCGATTATTTTTTCACATCCCTAGATCATTTGTTTCCCCGGGATGTAGACGTTTTTTAAAGAGATCTGCGAGTAGGACAGTTACTATACTCTTTGTCTGCGAGTATACGCAAACAGTCAGGAGATGGGACATTTGTGAAAAGACTATCAACGTCTAAAGATAACAATATGGATTTAGGAGGAATACGAATATATTTAATTTTGGAAATGAGATCTAAGCCATTTTTAGGCTGTAAGTGGGGTTGAATCCTGATTTCTATATTCTATAGGAAGTTTAATTTTTTAGCAAGGAAATAAGCTGGTGCACCAATATATGAGACAACTGGACGAATAGGAACATGTTCTTTATGTATTTTTGGTAACCCATATAAAATGAGTGCTTGAGGATTCATTGGAACAAGATTGCTACGAGACAAGTTGTGATCGGAAAAAACATGATGACTGTTGTATACATAACTTAATATCCGAAGTAAACTTTTTGGTTGGGTCAGACTTCAATAGCTCAAAGTCATCACCTTGGATAACATCGTTAACTTTCTGACTGTACCCACTACTCTCCATAATAACAACAGTATTGCCTTTATCGGCTTTAGTAACAATAAGGTCGTTTTCCCTTATTCTCTGCTTTAGGGACTTAAAACAGGGAACTAAGGATTGAAATGGGAAGACGCGGGCACAGCCCGAATTTCATTAGCTAACAAACTTAACAATGTTATCTTTCTTCCCGATCACAACAGCCATCTCTGCGTCAACAGCCATAGTCTCTAACGACTTTCGGGAGACCGAAGGTGTTAAATTATACTTTAGGCCTTTATGTAAAAGGGACAACTCATCTGTTGGAAACTGGACATCGGAAAGATTTTTAACTCGGGGATAAAATTGGTGATATTCTGTATGTATGTCGTTATTACGATTACGGGATGAAGAGGATACAAGTCGTTGTAATTTACGGGACTGAATTTGATATTTCTCATAAAAAGCCATTGAAGCAAGGTTTCTGGCTTTCCCATCCAAAATATCAAATTCAATATTATGTAATTTATATGAAAGTTCAGAGTATAATACTTTAAGGTGGATTTTTAAATTATCTCTATTGGAAAACCAACGACGACCCTCTTCATTAAGCCAAATGTTCTGAGCTTTAGAAATAGCAATACTGGCCGCTCGACTATTTGTACCGGAACGTATTTGAATATAATTGGGAATAACATGAATTTGTTTGCACTGCTGATTGAACCAAACATTTTGGGCAGCTATATGATGGAGTTTTGTTAATTTGACATAGTCTTGCCTGGTCGGCCGTGCTAGCCTTTTTAATATAATTAATAGAATCAGGCGTTACTTTGCGGAAATCCATTATATAAAAGCTTTTAGAAAAATTTACTTCGCAAATATCCGCGTTATAAAATAAAATGATGATTTTTAAAAAGACACGACTCGCGTGTCATACGCCACACACAAAAGTAATCGATGGCACGCCTGGCGTATCACCCGCACTGAACCGGTTAAATCATTTTATATTATATTACATTTTTTGCCTTTTGTATACATATATTGCTTTGACTGCGAAGTAAGGGTATATAATTAAAACAAACACTGTATAGAAATATTTACATTTTATTTTTGCTTGTCTGATTGTTTTCACTTTGAACAATCTATGTCATATTGCAGTGGTTGAATAAAGATGACAACTTCAAGTAGTTTCAGAGTCATCTCAAATATATTTATGATGATTATACATGATAACCACCAGCTAAATCATTATTCAAACAACGCAACATGAAAGTAAGTAATATTAGGTAATGAAATCAGTCGTAGGGAAACTTACACCAGTGCCCTTGGAACAAGTTTTTGACACTAACGTTTTCACATCATTATCGACTAAAACAGTATGAAAATATAAGCGTCGCTGGTGGACGTAAATAGATCTTTATTTTGTCATACAAAGTAACTCGATGGCGATACGAGTTCGATACGATATAACTCGTGCCCAGGTAGAACAACAAAACCCTTTCAATATTAGGACACAATAATCATGCTATACAACAAATCCTGGATTCATATTATATTAAATTGTATTTATGAAAGTGCTAAAACAACCTTTAATAAAACTTGACTGAACAATCTTCCCTTAATCAAAAATATTATTTATAACGCTATAATACAAAACATCTTATTTTTGGCATTTATATAATACAAAATGTACATTTATGGCAACACATTATGTTATAAAAATTGTACATAATATTCTCATAAGGCAAAACTTACAATTTTTCATTATTTTGTGTTGCCAAATAAATATATAACATAGTGTATCATTTAAGTTAAAAGAATTTTAAAAATAATGAAAATGACTAATTAAAGTTACATGAAAATATTTTTTTATTTTATTTTTGGAAATGACAAAATGCTATATACAGCTATTTACAGGGTTATTTTGCAATAACCGGCCAAATTTGCAGAGAAGGTTCAGAATAAGTAATAAAAATGGTGAAAAAAAAATCACAAACATACCGTCCTTTTTATCTATTAAATTCAAAATGCGTGGTAATGCACTATTTTAACTGATTTTACTGCGCACGCACATATTCGTAAGGGTCGATCGGTAGGCAAAAACGTTGTTGCCCATATAGTTAAAAAAGTTACAATCTAATATACGTCTCACTGCTGGGCACAGGCTTCCTCTCATTTCTGAGAGGGTTTTAAGGCAAAGAAATGACCGCCGCGCTGCTCCAATGCATGTTGGCGAACATCAAGTCTTCGAAATATATTTTTTTTATTTTATTTCTCAGACAAGCAGGTCTCCTCACGATGTTTTCCTTCACCGCCGAGCACGTGGTAAATCAGCACTTAAAACTGTAATTAGTTTAATTGATGCTGGCGGGGATCGAACCCGGGTTGCTCTCGTACTGTGAAATTTACAGCGAGCGCTAACCATCTGAGCTACCACGGATTTGTTGCCCATAAATCACATTAAATTTGGGATAATTTCAAATAAAAATAGAAACCTTATTTACTCGTATTTTCACAAACTGCAATAACGGTATATCATTATTTATATATTTGAACTTAAGTTTAAAATTTGGCTACTCTGAAAAATAACCCTGTATAAAACGAGCCCATGTTCACTGCAGAAATTATTAAAAGAATGTTACCTTGCAGGTAGATGATATTGTTAGTAGTGATGAAACGATACGGCTGTTAATGATACCGACACGAATGACGAATACATTATAATTTATATTACGGTTACGAATAACGATACAAATGCTTTACGATTTTTTCTTTGAATTAACTTTTATTAAAATAAAGAACAGAAAAGAGTTTTCCTTTTATTTAATTAATTTAACTTGATATTCATAATTTACCATTAGAGTGTAGTTTAAGATTTTCAAGTTCTCAATATTCAATCAATTTTTTTATCCGTGTTTTATGAAAAAATAAGCTATGTACCCAAACATATTGTATGTATTGTAAAGAATCGTAATAAATACTACGATAGCGAATGTCGTTATGTATTTGCGATATTCGGCGATACACGATTATCGCATTCGTATTCGTTTTATCACTAATTGTTAATTAACTAGTCAAAGAACTTTCATAGGAAAAAAGCTATAAAAATTGCTTTTACAACCAAATGTCCTTCCATACACTTGCACTATGACACTATTTCATTAGTTTAGCAGTCTTTATAGTTAAAATAACCATATTCAATTATATGAACATCATTCACAAATGTTGTAAATACATTCCACAAACTATTATTTACAAGTCCCCTGGTGCAACATTATTTTTTCACTGTTTATTTAAAGTCTTATAACACTTAAGTCTTTTTGCTTAGTCTTCTTTTTTTTCTTCACTCATGAGTGTAAAAGATCAACTGAGGATTGGAGTCATCAGGTGATACTTCTAATTGTACAAATTGGGGTGTAGTTCTTGCAGATTCGTAAGTGGCACCACCATTACGAGAGAGAGAGTTTCTTGATCTGGGAAGAAAAAAAATAAATATTATGATTTATCATAGGTGACCAGAGAAAACATATTCAATAGCTAAAAAAAAATCAATAGCTATTGAATTTTTTTTTATCATTAAAGTAGTTGGTTATAATATGAGCAAATAAATGTGTATATAATATGGTAACATAATTATTTATTTTATTTTCACCTAAGCTATTTAGCAGTCAATGTCACCTGAGATTAAAAACCTAGGTGTTATAATATAACAACATAATATGTTATAATGTACATATGATACCAGACCAGCCGCATAGCCACAAAATCAATAAGGTATGTGTTACCTTCTGGCTTCTGGCAGTCTAACAGGCAAGACTTGCCTAGCCTTACTGCAATCTTTATAGTTAGTCGAATATTAAGCACGCATGTTGAGTAATGCACCATTGAACGAAACATGCCCAAAGCGAATCAGTATAATTGGTTCTGGCCCTAAGGCAGCCTAGTGCCAATCCTCCTCTGGCTAGATCGTCAGCCGTGTTGTTGCCTTTAGATTCACTGACCTTTGATCCATTGTAAGGTCACACTTTTGAATTTACATCCCTCACTTAAATATGTTGATGACATTCGTGTACTAGCCCTTAGTTCATTATGTTGGTGTTCAGAATTTGATATATACTGACCGTATTCATATGGAGTAATAGTCCTTTATTTTTCTAGCAGTTATCGCTATCGTCATCTAAATTATACTCATAGGTTTAGCCTGAAAAACTACTGTATGTAACCCCTGAGGACTAAGATGAACGACCTTGTTTCCAGTAAAGAGGGTCTCAGGTTCTCTACACTCACCGTACGAAACACAGCAGCGTATATACTGTTACGCGCCACTATTAATGTCTTGTACATGGCAACACTAGTTACACTAGCGCCCCCTAGTGTCGAGTAAATGAAAGTATTGCGCGCCACTATTAATGTCTTGTACATGGCAACACTAGTCACACTAGCGCCCTCTAGTGTCGAGTAGCAGAACTAGGAGAGTCGAGATCCTTCCAGAAATTTCGGGACCGATATGTACTCGAACATTCTAGATGTCGCTACAGTAGAAGGTTCTGGAAACTATCTGAGGCCCTATATAAGACCGGTATAGACCACGACCGGGGCAGTATTGAATTGGCGATACAAGAGAATACTTCGAAGCGAAATAACGGCGAACTGTGTTTTATTATTAGTGTGATTTTGATTGTAATTAGTGTTGTGTAATTAAAGTGTCAATTTTGGTAATTCAATCGGCAGTTTTTAATTGTCTCGAACCCCAAGCTCGTAACAATTGGTGTCAGAAGTGGGATCAAATATGCCGATTTTACCTAAAGACGACACGGAGGGTATCCGTACCCGAAGTCAACGCCAAAAGGAGACGGACCAGAGACGAATTGGTAATGCAACGCCGCAAACGTCGGAGGGGCAGCTGCTAACCACGGAGGCCGGCCCGTCAGCAGCTCCTGCATCTGCAGCACCTGACTTAGGTGCTCTGATGATGATGCTGCAGGATCAGGCTCGCCGACAGGAGGAACAGGCTCGCCGACAGGAGGAACAGGCCCGCCGACAAGAGGAACAGACCCGTCGGTTGGAAGAGCAGCTGCAGCGCGGTATGGAAGAACAGATGCTCCTCAGGAAGGACCTTCACGCTACCTTCGGGAAAGAGATAAAGGAGGTGAAGGATAGGGTTGCTCAACATGACAACCGCCTGTCGGAAGCTGAAACCCGAATCGACCAAGTGAACAATCGGGTTGACAACGTGATGGCTGATGTGAAGAAAACGCTGGACGACCTCAAACTTGGGGATGGAATTACAGCTCCCGTAGTAGCTATAACACCTTCGCTACGTGGATTCAAAGTGCCGCCGTTCGACGGGAGTTCTTCCTGGTCGGCCTACAAAATCCAGTTCGAGGCTGTCATGAAAGCGAACGGCTGGAATAAAAGTCAGGCCATGACTGCTCTCACCCTAGGCCTACGCGACCAGGCCTTAACTGTTCTGGAAGCTCTCGGTAAGGAAGTAACTTACGAGCAGCTCCTTGAGGCATTGGAGGCAAGATATGGCGATGCTCACCTGGAACACGTCTTTCGTGCGCAGCTCAAAGATCGCGTGCAACGCAGTAACGAAAACCTGCAGCAGTGGGCCCTTGAGGTGGAGAAGCTGGTTCGAAAAGCGTACCAGTCTGTACCTGCGCTCATTGTAGGGAACCTGGTACAGACATTCATCGACGGCATCTGCGACCTTGAAGTCAGAGCTGCTGTGAGGCTCGGGCACCACGAGACGCTTAAGGACGCCTTGACCCATGCACTGGAGGTGGAAGCCGTGCGGCAGGAGCATCGTTCCCACCGCGTCAGGGAGGTTGCAGCAGCTACAGTTCAGGACCGCAATAAGGGCTACAGCCCTAGGTGCTACGGCTGTGGGGAAAGGGGCCATCTTCGATCCAGCTGCCCTAAACGAACTGTAGAAAGGGAAGGTGATCGATATCGAGAGGGTAGTGTGGCTGACAGCACCGCCCAGCAACAGCAGGGAAACTGGCGGGTGCTGGCTGATGTTAAAAGAGCCCCAAGGATTTCGATCTCACAAACCCATGATGGGAACAGCCTAATCATCAAGGGCGAAGTCAACGGAACGCCGTGTAAACTGACCATAGACACTGGAGCCTCTCGCACGGTTGTCAGTTCCCAACTTATAAGTCGGTTCCTTGGGGACTCCGCAAACAACCGAGAACGCATTAATTTGGTGACAGCCACCGGTCAGCGCATACCCGTCCGTGGAGAGAAGGAGATGGAGTTGAAGCTAGGCAACATGATCTACCTGCATAATGTCATCGTGGCTGATATAATGGACGACTGCATCCTGGGCCTAGACTTTATGAGGAAGAATTGTTGTGAGATCGACGTTAAGCAAGGTGTTTTGAAATGTGGACAAGAAGAACTTTTCGTGGAAGGGGCGTTACCAGGGAATGTGTACAGCCTTAAGAAGATTGTTCTTCCGCCGAGATCGGAAACGATTGTGCCGGTTAGTCTTCCTCGGAGTCCTGGGCAAGCCCATCGTTGTGTACTCGTGGAAAGGGTAGACAATGACCTTCCATGGAAAGTGGCTCGAACCTTGGTCAGAACCACCGACATCTCAGGAGTACGTGTGTTGAACCTTTGTGATCAGGAACAGATTATAGAAAAAGGCACATTGGTTGGTACTAGTGAGGAAGTGGATTGGTTGCGTCGATGCGAATATCTATCGACCGGGACCCCCAGCAAGGATGGACAAACGATAGTGACCACACTTTTGGAAGACTGTCGCAGCGTTCTTTCCCCGAATGAAATGGTCAAGGCGAAGAAGTTGTTACTCAAGTACGCCAATGTTTTCTCGTCAAACGAAGCTGACATAGGAAAGACTGGCTTAGTTCAACACAAAATAAACACAGGACAAGAATTGCCTATTCGTCAGCGGCCAAGAAGATTGCCTGTAGCACGTGAAAAGGAAGTGAAAACCATGATTGAGGGAATGGTGAAGGATGGTGTTATTGAACCTTCATCTAGTCCATGGTGTTCACCTGTGGTGCTAGTAAAGAAGAAGGACGGCAGCATGCGGTTTTGTGTTGACTACCGCCGCCTGAACGACGTTACAAAGAAGGACAGCTATCCCTTGCCAAGAATTGATGACACGCTGGACATGCTTACAGGCGTAAAGTGGTTTAGTACGCTGGATCTGAAAAGTGGCTACTGGCAGGTTGAAATTGACCCTAAGGACAAGGAGAAAACTGCATTCTCCACAGGAAAGGGCCTGTGGCAATTTAAAGTCATGCCGTTTGGATTGTGCAATGCTCCAGCAACGTTTGAAAGGTTGATGGAGCTTGTACTTACCGGGCTAATTGGAGATGCCTGTCTCGTCTATTTGGATGACATCATCATCGTAGGCCGTACGTTTGAGGAGCACCTTCAAAACCTGGAACGCGTGCTCATGAAGATCCAGAGTGCCAACCTCAAGTTGAGTCCAAAGAAGTGCTCACTATTCAAACGGCAAGTTAGTTTTTTTGGGGTATGTAGTGTCGGAAGAAGGTATCCGCACGGATCCAGAGAAAATTGCTGCTGTCAAGGAGTGGCCGGTCCCAAAAGACAAGACACAGGTTAGAGCATTTTTGGGTTTGTGCTCTTATTATCGGCGATTTGTGAAGAACTTTGCAGATATAGCCAAACCTCTCCACAAGCTAACCGAGGAGAAGCGACAATTCTGCTGGGATGAAAGTTGTGATATTGCATTCCAGGAGCTCAAGAACCGCCTGTGCAAAACACCTATTTTGGGGTACCCTGATGCGGGCAAGGAATTCATAGTTGACACAGACGCAAGTGATATAGGACTTGGCGGTGTGTTGTCTCAACGGAATGGTGATCAAGAGATTGTGATAGCGTACTTCAGCAAGTCGTTGTCAAAGCCGGAAAGGAACTATTGTGTCACAAGACGGGAATTGCTTGCTGTGGTAAAGTCCTTGCAGCATTTTAGCAAATATCTTCTAGGGCGGAAATTCCACTTACGAACTGACCATGCTGCACTGAAATGGCTATTGCAGTTCAAAAATCCGGAAGGACAAGTTGCGAGATGGATAGAACTACTGCAGGAATACGACTTTGTGATCGAACATCGCAGCGGGAAATCTCATGGCAATGCAGATGCATTGTCAAGAAGACCTTGCCCTGAAGATTGCAAGCATTGTACTAGGCAAGAGGGTAAGGAAGTGGTATCTGTGAGAATGCTCAGGACAGACCAGCTCAGCAATGAGTGGAAGGACAGCCTACAACATGCACAGCAGGAAGATTCGGACATTAAGCCGATTCTGGAATGGATGAAGGCCAGTGCTCCTAAGCCCAAGTGGAGCGACGTCTCAGCAATGAGTTCGACCACGAAAAGCTATTGGGCCCAATGGGACAGCTTGCTGATTCAGGATGGAGTCCTGTGCCGTAAATGGGAAAATGGTAGGGGAGACAGGTGTCATTTGCAAATGGTTGCAAATGACACCTGTCTCCCTAAAGCTAAAGTGCCGGATATTCTACAGCTGTACCATAGTGGTTGTTCAGGAGGCCACCTGGGAGTTAAACGAACTCTCCTAAAGATCCGAGAACGGTTTTACTGGGTCCACTGTCGTGACGATGTCGAGGACTGGTGCCGCAAATGTACAAGTTGTGCGGCTGTAAAGGGACCTCAAATTCGTAGTAGAGGCGCATTGAAATTGTACAATGTTGGTGCACCATGGGAGAGGATAGCCATTGACGTTGCGGGGCCGTTTCCAGAAACTGAAAGTGGTAACAAGTATTTCATGGTAGTGATGGATTACTTCACTAAGTGGCCAGAAGTCTTCGCCATTCCAAATCAAGAAGCTTCAACAGTTGCAGATAAACTAGTTCATGAAGTCTTCTGTCGTTTTGGAGTACCTTTAGAGATTCACAGCGATCAAGGAAGGAATTTTGAGTCTCAAATATTCCAGGAAACTTGCCGAGTTATGGGTACTCAGAAAACACGAACAACTTCTTACCACCCACAATCTGATGGAATGGTAGAAAGATTTAATCAGACATTGGAGAGGTACCTAGCAAAAGTTGTGGAAAAACGGCAACGAGACTGGGACAGGCACATACAACCGTTTTTGTTGTCATATCGAAGCGCTGTTCACGAAAGTACATCAGTGACACCAGCTTTCGCAAACTTTGGGAGAGAATTGCGGCTGCCTGCAGACCTGATCACCGGAATACCACCTGATGCCCCACGCAGTATAACCGATTATGCAAATGACTTGCGGAACAAAATGAATGACATTTATGAGCACGTCAGACAGACGGGCCAGCAAACGTCTGAGAAGATGAAAACACGGTATGACCGCAAAATGAACAACAAGGGCTTTGATGAAGGTTCACTAGTGTGGTTACACAATCCAGTTCGCAGCAAAGGGAAATCTCCTAAGCTTCAAGCTAAATGGGACGGACCGTACCGGATTGTGACAAGGATCAATGATGTAACCTACCGGATACAGAAAGGTGCCAGAGGTACTCCAAAGATTGTCCATGTGGATCGACTGGCGCGTTATTATGGGGCCAATAATGCTCGGGACGAGCATGTCTTAGGAGGGGGCAGTGTTACGCGCCACTATTAATGTCTTGTACATGGCAACACTAGTTACACTAGCGCCCCCTAGTGTCGAGTAAATGAAAGTATTGCGCGCCACTATTAATGTCTTGTACATGGCAACACTAGTCACACTAGCGCCCTCTAGTGTCGAGTAGCAGAACTAGGAGAGTCGAGATCCTTCCAGAAATTTCGGGACCGATATGTACTCGAACATTCTAGATGTCGCTACAGTAGAAGGTTCTGGAAACTATCTGAGGCCCTATATAAGACCGGTATAGACCACGACCGGGGCAGTATTGAATTGGCGATACAAGAGAATACTTCGAAGCGAAATAACGGCGGACTTTGTTTTATTATTAGTGTGATTTTGATTGTAATTAGTGTTGTGTAATTAAAGTGTCAATTTTGGTAATTCAATCGGCAGTTTTTAATTGTCTCGAACCCCAAGCTCGTAACAATACATATACTTGTTCCATGTGGGTGTAACTTATAAATTTTTTCTTAATTTTTTTGTTATCCAGCAACAAATAAGCAAAAATTTCTGACCTATATTATTTTACTACAATATAATTTTTTTTCTTTTATTTTAAAAATGATGATTGATTTTGTTATTTTGATATAAACATAGCATTATTACTTTTTTTTTTATATAACTGATTTGAGCTACAAATTCAGTATTTAGCAACTAACTAACAATTCCTGTACAAATTTGATTGGTTTCTGCTGACATTTCACTGCTATATTGATATAGATTTATTCCCAAGTGGTGTTAGCGACTCGGAAAATAAAAACAATTCCTAGATAATAATAATGTCACTTATGTCTAATTTACAAATACTTATAACTTCTAAAGAAGGTAGGTGAAGTAAAAAAAATAATAATTTCAGGTAATGGATAGGCCACAATATATTCAGATGTAACAATAATGCAAGTCATCTAGGCCGCAGCGGCTCAGTACATAGTGCAGTAGGATCAGAACCGATAATTTCACTTCCGTTTGGGTTTATAGGTCTCAAGTGCGATGCCACACGTGAAATAATCATATAGAATGCCGGCAAATCTTGCCACAATTATCATGGGCAGCCCTCTATGCAAATCTTACATGGGGTCTGAGAAAACGGCGGTTCATGTGCTCTTTAGAAGGTTTGCAGTCGCTGGCTAAAGGGCTAAGTATTTCGACATGCCAGGGTCACACTCCCTCAGATCATTAGAGATATTAAGAAGTTGCCAGGATTACTCAACAAAGTAAGATGACTTGAATAATAATAATCCTATCTAGATGTGAAAAATGCACTAATCGTGGAGTTGCTCAAACAAATCCATAATAAACAAGTTATAAAAAAAATACATTATCCACATCGCATTATGCAGGATAGTTGTCTATGTCATCATTATTAAGAAAACGACACTTACTTGGCTTTGGCGTGAGTTAATATGTGCGACTTGAGATTTGTGCTTTGCGCGAACTTTTTATTGCAGCCGTCGAATGGACATACGTATGGACGGTCACCCGTGTGAATCCGGACATGTGTTCTGTAATAAACAATTAAACATCTTAGATAATAGGCATTTGCTAAAACATATTTTATTAAAACAATCACTGGTTGCAGAAAAAGTCGTGGATCATTCACAAAATTTTCCCGGTATTTCCCATTATTTTCTTTACAAAACTACTTTTAAATTAATCACTTCGCATTTTGATTGTAACGCTACCTACTAAATATGTGAGCTTAGCTTTTAATTTTAACTAAATGATATTTTAACTTATTCAAAATAAAATTATTACTACGTATTTGTATATTATACAAGAAAATGAAATACTTCGGTAGGATCACCTTGCCTAGATAATTTTACTAACGGAATTAAAAAAAAAACGATCACTAGTTTTTTCAAACAATTGACGTCTTCGTCGTCACTAGTTACATTTCATTTCGCTAAAATCACGTCTACTGGTCGAAACGGACGCGATCTGTGAAAATGTTGACATGAGCTAAAATAACCTTTTCCATTTCGATATAACTTTTACAGTTTCATTATGGAATCCCAGCAAGATATACAATTTAAGAACAATTCAGTGTCATGGTTATGATTTACTTTATGTTTCTATCTGTACACTGTCATTAACCATGTTTCATTTCTATAAGAAGATTTTCATTATAAATATATTATTATTAAATTTATATTTTGATTTAGAGGTTCAAAAAAAATATTTGAAAGTATTACAACATCGCCGAAAATTGTCTAGCTATTAGCATAATTTTAAATGTCATATATGCCATCTGAACAAAACTGCTTTTAAATACAATTAACTGTAATTTTAGATAAGGAGCTTTGAACGAAGGACCGTCTAACTCCAAATATAGCAGTCATGTATATTGCCTAGTTTATGTTCTGCATGCTTTTAGTTATAGTTTGCTTTGTTTATACTTAAGTGATTAACTATGGCCATCTTTTTGATATTGTTGACTAAATTTATTGACTATTTGTTTACCATGTAAAATTTTTACGCATGAAATATTTCGCTATCTGAATAATCACACGTCATTATTATTCTTATATTTAATTATTACGTACCTTAAATTAAAATCAAGTGAAAACCTCTTCCCACAGCCTTCAAATGTACATTGGAAGGGCTTCTCACCAGTATGGACTAGTTGATGTCGTTTTAACTTCGAACTTTCTACAAACGCCTTTCCTGTAACATAAACATATTGTGAATAAAGTATCTATAAATAAAATGTGTATTAAGCTATTATAGATATTGATTTCTCAAGCAATACAATATTCTTAAAAATCTTAAATTTCGTATGCTTTAAAACTAATTTTATTCAATTTAACTCTTTTTACAGGTTTTATTGAGCTTACTTATTTTTATAATATAAATATGAGTACATATTTGACTTGGGCTATATTAATAGCATTAAACGTGATAAAATGCGCAACACTTAGTTTATTTCTTGTGTATAGTCCTTGCGTTGTAGTATGGTATGGGGACATGTTTTTTTGGCGGGAACTTGACCGGCGGCGGATCTTGTATTATAGTTTAAACTAGCTGTTCCTCGCGACTTCGCCCGCGTGTAGTTTAGGGTTTTAGTTAAGTTGCACGGAACCCTAACTACTTTCCTAAAATGTAAGTAGCCTAAGATACTCCTTAAAATATCGGCTATCTGCCAGTGAAAGTCCCATCGAAATCGGTCCAGCCGTTTCTGAGATTAGTCGGAACAAACAGACAGACAGACAAAAACTTTAAAATTTGTATTTTTGTTATAAGTACCGTATATACTTTCATATGCATTTAGTATAAAATTGTTATTTTGACATTACAAACAGACACTTCAATTTTATTTATTTGTATAGATAATGGTTTGAAGTGTATTTTGATATGTAAAAGTGGTGCGACTTTGTGTATTAAGTGTCTGCGCATGTGAACTATTAGTGGAAACGGTGAAACAAGTGCTCCAATGGTGATGTGAATCTCAAGATTAGGTGTCTGTCTGCTTAGGCGCCTTGAGATACTATCGCAAACTGTCTGCTGGCTCAAGTTGCCGTCAAAATCTCCCAAAAACTACGCAATGTGACGCATCAACATATTGTGAAGCAGTGTACTATAAAGGATTATTACCACTTGATACGGAGATATATGAAGACATGACTTAAAGGACAAGCATCCAAGTCTTAAGGTTCTAGTGACCTGTCGCACCATACTACAACACAAAGACTATAGTAAAAATGTAGGCTATGATGTATGAGGGTAGTACTACCCTTACTATCTTATTACGACTCGACAGGGAAAGGACCATCCCCACAGAATACCAGCGTAAAATAGCTGCTTAATACTGCTGTGATTCTTATGATGAATGTTAGAAAAACCGGTGACCCTTTTTACTGATAATTGGTCCATGAGCCACAGTATCCACTTACTATCAGGTGGACCGTGTGCTCGTTTGCATCCTATAGTACAAATATTAGCATATTATTATACTTATTCCTCACTTTAATATCGTATAAAAACTCACACTAAGTGGCGTGGCGAACTCTTATACATGAAATTAAAATAGATTTAATACAACTAACCACACTCAGCGCACACATGCACTCGTGGCCCATGCGTGTGTAAATGTTTCCTCATCGCTGAATTGTCGCGAAACATTTTTGTGCAGCCTTTGTGTGGACATGCTGAAAACAAAAATTTTAATTATATTTTATACAGTTTATATAAATATATATATCATAAGTCAAATTGTTTTGAAGTTTATGATGTTAACCTTTAATCTATTTTAATTTTCAAAATAATATCCGTTCTTTAGTGTCCGAATTTATATTAAGTTAAAACAATGCCTTAATACCTATCGTTCTGTCAGAGGATTCCGGCGATGGTTTCTTTAGTCTAATCTTGTGGCCCGGTCTCGCAAACTCCGCTAATTGCTTTGGGTCTGATAGATCTAAACCTGAAAATTACTTTTAAGTTTACTAAATGTTTTTTGTAATATAATAATATCACTAGGAATTTTTATATTAAATACACTGCAATTACAAAAATAATAAATGCAAGTATTAAATTAAACTTATACCTACCTGGCATAGTTTCATTGCCTAAAATATTTTTCTTTCCTGTCATATATTCTGTGTAATCGGGATCTGGTTCTGGATTGGACCCATCATCTGTAAATCAAGGAATTTTATAAGTAATGAACGCCTTTTAAGGGTCACGCCGCCGCTTACAGTTTCAATCCTTTCTTTTCTCGTGATTCGTTCGGGAAATGTTTAGAGTAAAAAGTTATAGCCTATATGCATACTACTAGTGGGCTAAGACCAAGCCTGCTCTTATATCTTAGCCGCCTCAGGCACACGCAAATATAAATATACACGCGCACACGCACGCGTATGCACTTGCATCTACTACGCACGCTGATATATACATAAGCATGCACGCGTATACACAAGAACACACCTACGCACGCTTATATACACGCAGACACACACGTACGCACGCACGTGTATACATACGCAAGTACACAATAGCACATCGGATACTATGAACTTTAAAACGTTGAACTATTATAAAATTTTCAACTTCCGAAAACTGAACCCATTTTTGTATTAGTATTCCAAATGGGAAGTTAGTAAATAATTCTTTTTTGTTCTGAAATAATAGCCAACAAAATGTAATGGAGAAATAATAATGCTGAGAGGATAAGAATATTTATGATAAATGTAATTACTGGTTTAAATCTGCCATTTAACTACCATTGTGAATTACTTCCAAACAAGCATTTTAAGCTTAGTTAGGGCAGCTAATACTCACAAACAATTAGTAATGTTTTAAGCATTACTAGTATATATTTTAAATTAAAAACATTCCATGCATAATTCTGATACATCAGTTCTAATAGGCTAAGATTATGTAAGGTGTAAAAATTTCTAACCATCATCTTCACCAGTAGCCCACATTGTAACCGAGAACTCTCCCTCCATTGTTTTTATTTGTACTTGTTTCTGTTCCCATCGTCTGGCTGCACCTCTTCCAGGGGTTACTCCATCCATAAGACCCATAGGAACTTCACCTGAAATTTACAAATTCTAATTTCACACGATGATTCCTTAATATGCAATAAATTGTCTCACAGAATAATTTCCAGTGCCAAAGGAAAAAATACAGAACCGCAGGTGGACCAATACTGACCCGTTGCTGTGCTTTCATCAGTAGCTAAAGTATTCAAGTCAAGGCAAGGTTCAAGTCAGGCTATATATGAGAAAATATTTGTGCAAGGCAATCACCAGCCCCCCGGAAGCACAACACGGTTTCGGCCGATGTGGAGTACCACTAGCAACTTTCTTAGCTACATGGTTGAAGTGGCGCCCGCATTCGTCAGGGTGTAAGTCGACGCCGCTTACTTTTGACTTAAGGTGAAACATACGGTCTGTTCCCGGCCATATTCCCGCGAGATGGCGCTGAAGTCATAATTTTTTAGTTTATTTGGGTTTTTGTGTAATTGGAACATCATTAAGTCGTAGAGGTAGCAATCGCGATACTCGGACATTATACTTTATCTGCCGACTTCCAAAAAGGAGCCGGTACTCAATTCGACTGTATGTTTTTTTTTTTCGTTTTTTTTTTTATGTGTGTTACCTCAGAACTTTTTTCTGGGTGAACCGATTTCGATGATTCTTTTTTTATTTGAAAGCTGGTACTTCTCGTGTGGTCCCATATGAATTTGATCAAGGTCAGACCAATAGTTTTTAAGTTATTCTTAAATAACTTATATTGAAGTCGGCTGTACAAAATTTTTAATTTTAAATTATTTTACTAGGTCATATCATTGCCTCAAAATCCACACAACTCAACACAAAGTCCGAAAATAACATCTGTCCTTGAATATAGTGCCGTTTACACACACTGGCGTGGGTGAATTCTTAGTCCCTACATTTACGAACATTGAACACTAGATGGCATGAATGAAGAAAATGTTTTCCTTTTTTCTGTATGGGTAGGTAGAACTACAGAACGCCACCTGCTATGATATATATTATGTACGATTCATCATCTGCCTAGCCTTTTTTCCCAACTATATTGGGGTCGGCTCCCAGTCAAACCGGATTCAACTGAATACCAGTATTTTACGATTATGTTATAAAAATAAAACTTATATTTGTAAAATGAGCCGTGGTAACTCAGATGGTTAGCACTCGCTGTAAGTTTCACAGTATTCGAAAAATCCGGGTTCGATCCCCGCCGGCACCAATGAAATTGTTAATTGCAATTTTAAGTGCTGATTTACCACGTGCTCGGCGGTGAAGGAAAACATCGTGAGGAAACCTGCATGTTTAAACAGTGGTAGAGCCACGCGGCAGCTTTTGCTGCCGCACGGATGGGCCGGCTCAAACCGGGGTGCTACCACGACCTCACAGAATACCAGCGTGAAGTAGAGGTTTACCTCTGCGTTTCGCTTGGTGAGTGCAGGTGGCCGGAGGCCCTTTTTACTGGAAATGAGGCATTCCATCTTAGTCCTCACGGGTGACAACGCATTTGCATTTTTATTTGGAATAGAGGATAGGGGGCGTTCAAGTATTACGTAACGCAATTTGGGGGGGAGGGGGGGTCTTATAAAACGTTACCATGCGTTACAGGGGCGGGAGGGGGTTTTCCAATAACGCGTTACGTAACGTTTTTTTATTTCAATATAAACTAGGAAATTAAAAGCTCCCAAGTTGGCAACCCCTTTCGTTTAGGTTTTACGGGGAATCCCTCGATTGTATGGAACGTCATTTTTATTCTGTCTTCCCAAGTTGGCAACCTTTTTTGTCTATGTTTTACAGGGAATCCCTCGACTGTATTGCAACTGTGTTCTCTTTTAATGCATCTGGAATACAAAGTACTTTTACCAGTGGCGGATTTACCAGCAGGCTGAGTAGGCTGGAGCCAAGGGCAGGCAGGCAGCTGGCTAGGCAGCTAATTTGGGGCGAAAACTTTTTCATTTTTCACTTGGTCCATAAATTTTCCTACAATTTGCATTTGGTTGTGGCGCGGAAACGAGTGACATAACCGTTCGCTAAGTGTGTTTTGATCGAAATGCCTGCCCTATGTAGTATATATATAATATCTATGGAAGTAGTAGTATATATAATATATATGGAAATGCTGATGAATTGACTGATCGAGCGAGGCGCGGCCGCCGCGGGAGCCGCAGCAGGATCATACTGTTGAAGGCGTACGCTGCGTGTTGGCATTGAGTTCGAAACATAGATGTATTTACTTCAAAATCAAAAGAAAAGCTGCCTCTGTTGAATCCTGGTGCGATTTCTAATACGTACTAATATTTCTCTGGCACAATTTTTTGGAAAATTACCTATTGGAAAAACGGTCTGAAGAGCCGCAACATGTCTGGTGTGTGTACAATGGCTAAAATTCAAAGCCAAGCACCTTTTGCTTTTTTCGTTCCTTGCTCTGTCCTCTCTTAAAATTTAGTGGCAATTTTACGAACGCACATCGCGGCAGAACTTCCGATATCACCCACACCATCTGGATGATTGGCGGTCCACCACTGTGCGATTTAGAAGATGTTTTCTTCCTCGCACAACTTCCTTGTGGAATCGATTACCATCAGCGATTTTTCCAGACCGATACGAATTAGTGACCTTCAAGAAAAGAGTACTCCTTTTTAAAAGGCCTACAATTGCAATTTCCCTGGTTCCCCTGGTGTTGCAGTTGTTCATGGGCGGTGGTAGTTACTTACCATCAGGTGAGCCACATGTTCGTTTGCCCCCTCAACTATAAAAAAATTCGACTGCTGAACACAGGTTTTTTTTAGATTTGCACAGAAGCTTGTCGCTTCGTCAGTTCTTTGAGGCGAAGTGTAGGGCGATCCCCCACTAGATGGAGTGACGACCTGGTAGGATATGCAGGTAGTCGATGGATGCAGGTGGCTCGGGATCGTGTTTTATGGCATTCCTTTGGGGAGGCCTATGTTCAGCAGTGGACTTATGAAAGGCTGTAATCATGATGATTTGGAAAAACTCAATTTTCAGCACGCTGGAGAGAAACTTGTTAAGATCTGGAAATGAAAATTGACAGCTATGATGTTTCGGCAGAATATTGAAAGCCGGAAGATAGCTTGCAGAATCCAGCAGAACTTAATCTGGCATGGTATAGGGCTCACGTTCGTGAATCGCAATATTTCTTACAAGTGATTAAATGCGCGGATGAATCTTGCTGTTCCCGCTGCAGGAGTGCATTGAAATCTGTCTTTCCAAATACTTTCCTGCTGCCACCCTGCCCAATCCTTCAAACCACAAGCAAGCTCGTGGTACCTGGTCAGCTGGACAAAGGATCATGCAAGTTTTCACCACTTCTTGTGAGGTTGTTAGATGATCTGTCACCTCCTCTAGAAGGGTTTAAGCAGATGCCTTACCATTTATTTTGCCCATCAGTACAATCTGACCTCAAGAACAGAATATGTGCAACATGTGGGATCTATTTCACATCTCACAAGAGTGTGCAAATGCACAGGCGTTACGTGCATGGCAAGACTGCCCAGGACCGTCGTAAAAATAGAGTACAGCCACAGCGACTGCTACCAGAAGGGCAAATGAGCTTCTCTGCATTGTGCGATGCTGTAAAACATCGTCTGAGTATGCCGATTGGCTTGACGAAGACGAAGTTGATGCAAGTGGTTTAACAATTCCGGAATCCGCTCCGTCTGCTCTCCGGATGCCAGTAATGAAAGAGTCTGAATGGGCGGCAAACCCGTGGACAGAGGAATAGTAACTCCAATTAAATTGATCTTTTTTTACATACCTACGTATTTTAATTATGTCTGTTTTTATTTTAAATTTTTAGCTAAGAATACAATTTTATTTTGACTAAAATTTTTTATTTCAGTTAGGTTTCCATTGCATTGCCAAAGGTTAAAATAAATATGTTATTTTATTTTAATAGTTTATTAGTAAAAAAAGCCAAAACAGGAGAATGCATGAGAAGACCTTGGTGGATTAAGCCAAAAATGTATGTGAGGAAAGGGCCAAGTCAGAAAAACGGTGTAATTAAATGTAAAGTTAGCAGTAAAAGTTTATTAGGACGAATTTTAGCCCATTTTAACATATTTAAAACTGTTGCAAATGTTTATTACATTATGTGTGATTATTTATTAAATAACAATATGAATAAACAAAAAAAAATTTAAGAGATTTCTAATCTCTACTTTTAGTTATTATTACCGCAAACGCGATTAAAACAATAACAATATTATTTAGCGACTTTACGGTACTTTGCACAACATAATTGTGACTTTTAGTTAAAAATGGTCACTTGGGTGTTACGTAACGTTTAGGGAGGGGGAGGGGGGGGGGATCCAGATAAACGTTACGGCGCGTTACATAGGGGGGCGGGAGGGTCAAAAATCTTCAAAAATTGCGTTACGTAATACTTGAACGCCCCCATAGATGTAGATGTCTATGGGCCGCAGCTACCACTTACCATCAGGTGGACTGTGTGCTCGTTTGTCACCCTTATCATATAAAAAAAAATGTCTGACAAATGAGAAAAAAAATATATGTTTCGAAGACATGTGAAGTTCGCCAATACGCATAGGAAATGGAATACGCATTGGGGCAGCGCGGTCTGCCGCGCTGCCCCAATGCGTATTCCATTTCCTTGCCCTAAAACCCTCTCAGAAATGAGAGGAGGCCTGTGCTCAACAGTGGGACGTCTATATAGAACTTTTTTAACTTATATTTGTAGGCGTAAATAAACTATTTAATTCAATAATAATCTTGGAAAATAAATTATCTCAACACTAAGAACAATAAAACGCAGTTTTATTTTATAACCTTACACTATTGAAATTAATGATCAAAACAAGTATTTGAAGTAACACGTCTGATACACGCCTATTCACTCAAAACTAATAACACAGATGAAGAAATCGTTTAAAATGAAGTTCATACTGGTGAAGAGGAAGGTTTCATACCAAATGCACTGGTGACGTTCAAAGCAAATCAAAAAAGTGGTGATGATTACCATAACAATATGAATGCAGAAACTAAACGAAATGGTTACAAACTCAATTAATTCCAAATTTAGAGCCCAATAGCGTTGTGATGGTAGACAATCTTACCACCATTCGTTAGAAAATCCGTAATTTTTTATCCGTAGTATATAGTCCGTATTAGGTAATTCTTATTATGATAGTTGTAAGTTTCAATAAATAAATTATTTATTTCTAGCACATACCTCTAACATTATTCGGAGAGCTGGCGATGAATTTTGGGCTATATAGTCATGTACTAAGCTCTTGGACTACATAGTCTTGTACTAACCTGTGTTAGTTTTCACTCAATTAACTTTTTTCAGACAACTTTCAGTTCCGAATCACCAAACAATAAAATATATCCTATGGAAAAAAAAAGTACAATAAAGCAAAACTTACCAATCGGCATTAGATGGTGAATGTTATTGGTATTGTTGGTGTTAACGCGGGGTCGACCGCGACCTCTTCTGGAACAGACGGAAAGGTCTGAAGATTCTTCACAAAAGAAAATTATTACTAAATAAATAACATTCATTGTTATTTTATTTATTTAGTGGTCTGATTAACTAACGGTATGCTAACTAGTGTTAATTATTATTCTCGGTAGGATTTATTGCCAAAGAAAACGAACAAACATATTATAAAATTGTTGTCAAAAACTTTTACGGGCACACAATATTTAATTCACCAACATTTATTTGTAATTAAATGATTAGTATAGGAATGCATTCTGGACAAACAAACATACATTTTTATAAGTTACTAGCTGATACCCAGTGCTTTGCTGCCACAGAAAAATTAATTGTGGAAATATCATTTTAAATTTGGAAGAGTTATACTGTTTAATGATAAGGAATGATAAAATAAATATGCATTGAAGTTGAATGATATATAACTTTCAAATAAATTTGTCGGTACGATACGTGCGCCACCTATTGGAAGTTAATTGTACTATGCCTATAACCTTCGCGCTAGTGCAAGCGATAATTTGACAAGTTTTAACGTAATCTGATGAATGGTATGGCAACACATAAAATATGAACAAACAAAAATAATTTTTTTATATTAGATTATTACATATCGATCGATAAGATTATGCCACAATTGACAAACAGTTACCAACGTGCTAGCGAGGCAATAATGGCAAATATTCCTCCTATGAAACAATCCACAGGGTGGGCTTATGTTCAGCAGTGGACTTTAATAGGCTGTAACAGTAAGATTATTTATCGTGGGTGATCCAATTTTGGATGTAATTATTTATTTTCGGAATAAGAAATTGACATTGATAACTTTCTTGGCAAATTCACGCCATAAACACTGCAGAAACATAGCAAGCAATTTTCTAAAGTTATTGAACAAATCAATCACAAACCTGCTCGTTGAGGGTGGAGCTGTGTAAACAGGTTCATAGGGATTGTCAGTGGTAGGATGTAGAACCTCTTCTCCTGAGATGCCTGGCAAAATAACTTCTTCACTCCCCACTGAAATTTTATAATCTGTCAGCACAGCCGACATGATTCTATGAGATATTATTTTTAAAAAAAACCACACACACATAAGAGCAAAAGAAATAATAATAACATTGGCTTCTTAGTCAATGTAAGCAGTAAGCTTTTTTTAATCAGGTATTAGTGTTAGGTATGTATAGTGTTACATGGGCTGGTTACCGCACCTCCATGAGTAAGAGCATATTTAGCATGTAAAAATTTATTTTAGTGACTTCGCCCTATATGCTAAAATAAATTTAGTAAAGTTCAATTTGTAATATTAATATAAGTTTTGTACACTATAATAAAAATAGATATGTCTATAATAAACAAAAACGCTTGTGAAATGTTCAAATTATTATGCCTATTTCTTCAGCATCGTAAATTCTACTAGATAGATTTGGATAGCATTTTGTCGTTTGAATTTTTAGGGAAGTTTTCAAAAATCACGGGTTTTTCTTATTGTGCTTAAGATTTTTGTTAAAATATTAACAAGTAATGTTGGGATTTTGCTTTGGATAGAAGTGTGCTAATTTTTATGAAGAAAAGCTGGTGTTTCATATATTATATCTTTATTTAGGCACCATCAACAGATTGTCTCTTAGAATTCTCATAATTTTATCTTTATAGTCAAGACAAGTCACCCCACCCTACTTGTAGACAGAGTGTGGCTAAGTATGGAAAAGGCATACTTCACGAAAATGTGTGTTTAAAAAAATTGGATTTGCATGCATTTAAAAATAAATTAAGTCATGGTATGGTATATTTAAAGTATAAAACATGATGCATTAAAATATACCTTCTTCTAAATGCTGCATTCCAATAACCTGCTCTTCCACTTCTTCATATTGGTCATCTGTAATATACTCTTCATATTGACCAGTTTCTATTTCTTCATACTGTAAACAATAAAGTTTTTTTTTAAAATATTATACTTGTGATGGCTGTCACTTGAATGAAACTTCATCTTCATTTGCGATCAAAATTGACATATGTACTTGTTTCACTTATCTTCTTATTTGTTAACTATAAAACTTGTCATAATTGATAAATAATAATGCAATGCATTGTTCAATTAACTTAAGCCGGTTTACTCATATTCATATATCTATGATCATTAACATATTATGAGAATGTAATAGAACCCTAAGGCTTATTTCCACAAGAGATCAGCCACACAATGTTTTGTCTGAGTGGCTTTCCAGGTGACGCGGATGAATTGCTTCAAGGAGGAGGCCTGTGTTTCGGTCCATTATAAACAGAGGTCCCCCACAACTGAAACACTCCACTGAATTATCCCAAATTTTGTGAAGATCGATCTGGTAAGGAGTATTATGACAGGAAGTGACAAAAATTGTACATTTAATGTTATAATTAAAACAATAATTATTTAAAGTATATGGTTGCTATTACAATACATCAGGCGGCCTCATATCATCATAGTTAATACCTCAAGAATTATGTTACATGCATTATGTGATTATTTTTAAGCCACCTTAGAATGTTCAAAAGAAGAATATTTTAAATTTAAATGTGTAAAGTAACTTATATTACTCAATTATGAATCAAAATGCAGATGTGTTGTCACTCTTAAGAAGCAAGAAGGAACACCTTGTTTACAGTAAAAAGGATCTCCGGGACTCTACAGTCACCATACGAAACACAGCAGCATTAAGCTGCTATTTTACGCTGGTATTCTGTGAGAGCGTGATCCTTCCCCGGTTGAGCCGACCCATTCATGCTACTACTATACCACTAATATAGCTACAGCGTGGTTCTACCACATACAAAAAAATGTTATTAATTTAAAGTATAATTCTTACAGATAAAAAGCAGGTTGCTTCAAAAAGTTATAATATTATAATAATTTATTGTGACACTAGTTTAACACAAAAAATAAAATAACCTACACAAAGAAAAGGAAAGAGTGGGAGAAGAAATAGTATTAAGACCATTTGCCTTCAAGAAAACTTTGGCAGCAACCCAACATCGGCAGTTATCTCTAAATCGTAACTGGAATATATTTAGGGTTTTGTTAATAGTATAAATTAATTGGAAGTAGGTAATGCAAGGCTCCATTTACAATGAGTAACTAGTTAGCTAGTTGGTGAAAAATAACCAGTTTGCAAGTTCTTCATTGTAAGTCTACTGAATATTAGCAAACACTTTATGTTGAGAACAAAATAAATAGTAAATCAAACTTTATTTATATTAGATTGTTTGTTGATTGATTGTCAATGTAAATTTTGGTGAAACTTGATAAGTTATGTAAGATGTTTAAGTCAATAATACAATATAATCCATCTGTATTCTTAGAAGGAACTAGGGCTCAACATGCACTAATTAGAGTACCAAATAAAATAAAGTACAATCCCACACTCAAATGCCGTGTAGTGGCGGTGTAAGAATAAACACTACCCCATATCATCCTGTGGGCGTCGTAAGAAGCGACAAAGGGAAACAAGTCAGACGATGGGCAGCAGCATCTTCCTAATAACAAATAAAAATAAAAAACTGCAGTTGTTACCTGCTTGTCAAGCATGACAACTATGGCAAATATCGTCCCTATGAGGCAATCTATGGGGAGGCCTATGTTCAGCAGTGGATTGTAGTAGGCTGTAACGGTATGGTAACTCAAAGTGCACAAAATTGTTGATTCTCGCCCACATTACAATGATTTTAGAAGCAAACGAACAATCAAATCAAAAAAATCAAAAACAATCCCCATTTCAATTGTAAAGTCGGACCTTGCTAAGCATTGTCCCACCTCACATCCCTTCATTTACAACAGAATATCACAAACAATTGACCTTAAAGGCTGCTAAATTTCCTTTAGTAAAATGCTACTAAAGAACATGTTTTAAACTGTAACATATGACATTGAACAGCTAATTAAATAGCACATACACACACACACACACACTCACCCAAAAAATTCTTAAACTTTAATTTCTTTTCAAAAATCTTTTCCACTATACTAAATTTATATGATCTTTAAACCAACATCATGCATAACCTTTAGCACAATGAATGGTAAATATTTAATGCAAAAACTATTTCAGAATTTTAACTTGACTTGTTAAAACAGTTACAACTATAAGTGTAGTAAGATAAGAATAGATAAAGATCTCTGAACATTAAGATGCAAGAGATGCATGCTGGTGAAGAAACTGATGCATGTGCATTAGTTTTTAACTTCTATTTCTGCTAAATTTAATAATCATAATAGAAGAAGTAGATGCACCTATTTGAAATCCATACCTTAACTCCCACTTGGTCATCGCCATCTATCTCCACCATACTGCCATGTGTCCCAATTTCAACTTCACACATTATCTCTTGGTTCATCATCTTGGAATTCTGTAAAATTATATTTAAAAAAAACTGCAATAATTTAATACTAAGTACAAGTTAGGTGAAATAAAATTACGAAATTATAATTTTTTTATTAGTGAATGTTTTTTTTTACAAAAAATATTTTTATAAAAGCTATTTCTTTTTGAAAGTCTTTATTATAACTACTGTATTTATTTTAGGCACCTTTGGTTATTTATGTTTTAGTAGACAATAAATAAAATAATGTGTTAACAAACCTATAAAAGTTTTTGTCTTCCTTCCTATCCTTTTTCTGTGCACCAGGTGAGGTATAACACAAGCTAGTCATAAATAAAGTACAAATACTTCAAAATATTGTAACTTATTGTAAAAGTGCAGAAGTTTGTCTTCTTAGTTGCTGGAGTTGAACTAGTTACAATGTTGCAGCTTCAACTAGTGATACATCAGTCTTATGGCTGCCTTCAAGTGATTGACACACTTGCTAAGTTTGCTTGGGCATCACACACCCCACCTTGTATGGCACATAGTTAAAAAGTATGTTTTGTACAAGATTTTTAGTTTTTTTGATTGATTTTGTATTATATAGAAAAGTCATTGTTTAGTGATAAAAATTATAAAAAATGTCTTAATTAGTGATAAATGAATCCTAAATAATAAGAACACATATTATTACACTTCACACAGCAACATCGCAGCAATATTTTACTTGTTAGTAAATCATGCAGAAATAAATAGTATGATAATAATGCATATTTTGTTTAATAGTGGAATTGATAGGAATAAAACTAATTTGAGAAAAAAAATTATTCATGACTTGGGCAAAGATCACTTGAACACTCAAAAGCTTCCAAGGAAAGTATGGAGCAAAATTGCAAGTTATTTTGAAAAACCGACTGAAAACTTTGTAGATCCCTCTCCTAAAAGACCAAATCTAATTAAATATGCACAATCTGTTTTTAGAAAAAACAGGAATACATATGCTTTGTGTAAAAGATGTTATAAAATGCCAATATGTGTTTTTCAGCTGTTGCAACCTTGATATGATTTGTTTCAATGAGATGCATATGTGTGACTAAAAATGTATTCACTATGGTAATTTATGTTGTGTGATGTTGAATATTAAACAATAGAAAATAAAATTATCTACATCATAATGGAGGTATAAGTATCTGTGTAGACAGTTGCAATATTTTAGAGGTTTCTTTATGTCAATGTACATTGAGTTGTTATCAAATTATTCATTTTATGACTCAAAATTTTAAGTTTATTGTGCAAAGTTTATTATATTCAATATTCCTGAACTAAAATTACTACCTATATAAGGTATTAATTTTTCTTCAGGAATTTACAATGTCTTAATAATATACGCCCATACCCATAGTTAACACTTTGTTTACGAAATTACCCGACCGACAGCAAATTGCAATAAGTATATTCCAAGTTTTAAGCGATACGTATTATTTACAATGCAAAACTAGAAAGTTAAATTTGAGAACTAGAGTAGCTGTCAAACAGTACAACTCTATATAAATTAGCTATCCAGAGGCAATAAGCAATAACCCAGTATGACTGACGTTGTTATATCGGTGCCCGTAACAAGTTGTGAATGTAGTATCACATTACTAGTAAGTTAACTAAAGGAATAAATTTTTATTGTCTAATAGCAATGCGGGTAAAAATGATTTACCGTATAAAACGTATTAATATTTAATAAAAACAAATATCGAGAACAGCAGGTGCGACTGTACTGGGGCGACCGGCCGGGTATATGAACAGCTATTTTTTAGATAATTAATAAAACGACCACGCCAATCCGTTACAAGACAAAACCCCTGTCCCATGACCTTCATTCAGTCACCTTTAAAACATGCCCTGATGCGTAGTTCCATCGAAAATAAAAATTACTTGTTACAATGTGTCTATAAGTAAGATTGTTTTCGGTGAAAATAATTTACCTTTATTTAGCTTTTAACAAAAGCTCCGGGGCCCCCAGGAGACAAATATTGGCCGTTGCGTAGGCACAGATTTTTTCAGAACTATTTTCACTGCAATTAATACTATACACTTCAGTGAAAAAAAGTTTGATATATAGTGCTGAAAATATTTGAAATTTACGCGAAAATGTTTATAAAATATGTCCGACTAAACATGGCGTCCAAAGATGTCCGACCAAATTCAATATGGCGAAAGAAAATGGACGCCCACTCTTCACAGCGCTCGCTCGACTCGTGAAAAAACGACTACCAGTGTTGCCAATACTTACAAATTTCTTCTTCTAGGTGTGATCTCAAAATTCCCCAAAATGCTCTGTAAACTAAAACTGTTACAGTATTGAAGCATCCACCGCTAAACATAGCCATTGAAACATACTTTTATACGGTAGAGCCATGTTGCAGCTATAAGTAGTACAGTTGAAGCACGAATGGGTCGGCTCGATCAGGGTAGGATCGCGCTCTCACAGAATACCAGCGTAAAATAGCAGCTGCTGTGTTTCGTATGGTGAGTGTAGAGAACCGGAAACCCTTTTTTCATAAATATAGAACATTAAACTGCTTAGTGGTACTGATGACCGAAAAATTTCTTATAATTAACGGCCATCCTTGAATATCAATCCACAACTAATTTTAGATTTTAAATAAATAATTGAATGTAACGTTGGCTGGAAAATGTAATTATAAACAAAACTGTCGGTAATATATAATGTACTAAACTAAATATTTCAAAAACCTGAGGAATAAATAGTTTCACAGCAAAAAAACCGGTTCTATTTTTACTCCTTTTAGGGGGATATCCCTATGTGGGTTACACTACAGCTACAATCTATGAAAGATAATAAAACTGGAATTGATAGATTGCTATTACCGTATTTAAATAAGCCGTTCTCTCTAATCTCATTTATCAAATAAATCAAAAATCAGTAGTACATATATTTTTTGTCATGAAAAATGTTATTTTTTATTACATACGTGAATTAGATTTTAAAGATTTAAATTATTATTTCCTATAAGTTAAATATTTGCACTTTACATTTTTTACTAGAAAACAGCGCCACCTGGTTACGATAAGAACTGTCAAATGTCAAAGTTTTATTTCCTCACTTCCTGTGATTATTTAATAGGGTCTCCACCAAAAATACCATATTTTTTGGGGAAGATTAAGCTTTAGGTGAAGAATGGCAGTAAGGTTATTATCTAGATTGGTTCTGCCTGAAATAAGAGGCACAGTCTACTCCAGCTCTGCGGCAGCACCAGCTACCTTATCTGATTTCGATGTCCAACATAAGACTCCAGTTATTAGGAAGCAGCAGTCGATTCCCAAAGCGCAGTATGGTGGCCGTCATGCTGTTTCCATGCTGCCTGGTGGTGGTATTGGGCCGGAATGCATGAGCTATGTCAGAGATATTTTCAAGTGAGTTCCAGTGACTGTCTTTATCTAAGCATGCAATAATTCAGATTGTTCATTATTTTGGTATTTTTATTAGTCTAACTCATTGCCTACATACTATTGTATAGGTAGTCTAAGTAGTATAGTATGTTATCAAATTAATCAGACCTAAACTGATGTAGAAATGGTTACATTTTGAAACCAACAATAAAGAATAATCTGTAACTGCTGACTAAATATCTTCTGACTAATATTATTACTTCAACAAAGTCATTTTTTACTTCTACCACTGGGGCATCTAATGCTATTATATTCGCTATATGATTGATGCATCAGGGAATCAATCACAAGTGTAGTGAGAGGCGACTATGGGAGACGCCAGAAAGATCTTATGGCTTCCAATAGATAGAAGTAAAATCATATTTTCTATGCCGGACCTAAAATACCAAGATGGGATCAATGTCAAATGTATAAGAAATCTGATGCTGCAATGGTTTATCCCCTTGCACAAAGTGATTATTAAGGCAAATCATACTTTCAATGGGAGAAGCCCATGTTTACCTGATATTGAAGAAAATGATTTATAGAACATATGAGGCTATTTTAGATATTACATATTCTAACAATTGGAAAGTAATTATTAATTTTTACTTCAGTTACATTGGTGCACCGGTTGACTTTGAAGTCGTGGACATTGATCCAAATGTTGATAATGATGACGATGTGCAGTATGCTATTACAACCATCAAAAGAAATGGTGTTGGAATTAAAGTGAGTAATCATTTTAGTTTTATACAAATATAAATGTTTGTGAAAATATTTAACTATATAAATATACAAAGTGTGGTGGCAGCTGAAGAAACAACATTATCATAAGGTGTGTGGAAGTGACCAACCTATCACGAGGCATCTACAAAGATAGACCTTTAAATGAGCTTGACATATGCAAGTCCCCCTCTACTAGAATAAGTTAATTTGTTGTTAAAATATCCTTATACCATGTTGATGTGCATATTTTATAAAATGTTAATTTAATTAACATTTTATTAAATAACTTGGTACGATTTTTCATTGACGTCAGTGGAGTTTGGTGTTGATACGTATTTTTACAGAAAGATTACATTTTTATAAGCACACACACAAAATTTCAATATGCGGAAACATGTACTTATTGAGAAAAAAATATTGTAAATCAAATAATTTTGCAATATTTAGTCAATTCCTACCGTGAAACTGACGCCATTTTTATTATTATTGTCAGTAGGGATGTCGATTCTTTCCGAAAAAGATCGAGTTTTTAAATAGATTCGAATTGTAAGCTGATGTATCGATTCCCAAAAAATCTATTTCTAAAATATTGATATTTTTTTCATGTTTGCATTTATAATCATCATTCTCTCTAAACCATTTCCCATTATCTGGGGTCGGCGCAGTAAATCTTTTTGTTCCATTCCTCTCTATCAGCCGTCATTTCCATACTTACTCCTTTCATTCTCATATCACTCTTCACACAATCGATCCATCTTTTATTCGGCCTTCCTCTGCCCGTGTGTCCCTCCACATTCATATTCAACACTCGTTTTGTGACATGACTTTCATTCCTCCGCATCACATGCCCAAACCATGCCAAT